TTTGACCTCATGCGACTAAGGGTGAATACAACTCTTATTCAACACGTTTTTATATCTTTAAAACTTACTCATCCTGAATATAAGTAATGCCGTCGATAGTTATAACACATATAAGTCTGCTTCGGGAATCCCACTACATAAATATGAAATTTGAAGGTAGCGTCTGTCCTGTGACCCAGGGTGATTCGTGGTAGTGTAGCTTAATGGTTAACGCGTCAAGAATATACGCTGCACTACCTGGGTATAAAATTAAGTAGATGTGCGGTAGACATATTTCAATAGCCTTCATGCTCTAGGTTCGAATCTTCTTAATAAATGTCCCTTTTTAATTTAATATGTAAAAATAGCCTTTTTTCATATTTTGCATAAAATTTAATATTTTCTTTAGGGAGGAATGTGTGATAACTACTGAAATGATAAATGCTATCGAGATTGAGTCACCTAATATTGGCATTCCAATGACAGACCCATATGAACCCCAAGTTACTACGACATTTGCGCCCAACCGGCCTGATAGTCATTCATTTCATCATGTCGAGGAGGTTATTCCCGCTGTCCAATCCCCAACCCCTTCAGTTTTCTCGCCAACTTCATCCTCATCACAACCGCAACTTTCTTTTGTTGCATCTTCAAGCCAAGCAAGAATGGCAACTGCTCTTGTTTCTGATTTCGTTATTGTTCATCAGCTTGTCACCTCACTTGTAGATGCAGTGAGCGATGACAAGGCAGCTCGGGTTTCTGCTTCAAAGTCTCTTGACGACTACTTCGAGCTGCCAGAGTCAGGTGAACAGAAAAATAAACAAGAAGTTGCGCTGCTGCATGATGCTATCCAGCCGCTTGCCATTACGCTGGGTGAACAAAGAGATACGGAGTCATCTACTTCCAGCCCGATGCATTTAGCATTTGCCAACTGTGTGCCCACTGCGGAATGCTGCTTGGAGCAAGAGGATCAGCCTAATACTGCGTCGGGTCTTATTAAGCCAAAAGAACAGGATGAACCAAAGAGAATGGGACAGTCTGATGATTTTGCCACTTATTTGTCAGACTCTTCCTCTTCATTGTCTCTATCCTCACCCACTTCAACCGTCTCTCTTGCTACTCCCTTGTCTACTAGCTCCACATATTCCCCAGTTTCAGGCCATCTAGGTGGCACCGATAACCTTGGTCCGCCTCTACCTATGCGGAAAAAGCAGCATACCGCCTTCACTCAGTTACCCTCAGGTTTGTATCAATTTTTATCTCAGTTGTTCGCTGTGATATACACTTAAATGCTCTTATATGTTAAGTTAACAACCTATTACTGCATATGCATGAATAAAATATTCGTAGATTTGAAGGAAAAGATGTTATGGCCTCTATTTTTGCAACAGTCTCCTTTCGCTGTATGGAAGTGGTCTGACCTTGTTTTCGCAGTTCACTCGTGTTGTCAAGAGGCCTACTTTATGCTGAAAGGTTCTTTAAACTCGTATGAGTATTTATTTATACTTTTACTAGCTCATGTATAAGAGCTGCAGTTCACGTAGGGCAAATAAAGGTTAATAGTTGAATTTTCCCACAATGATATCTGTAAGCCTCAAGATGCTATTGGATTTCACTTTTCCGTGCTTTTCTAAGAATATTATAACACGGATTG